ACACTATGGCTTTTACAATAAAATAAAAACAAAAAACCATGGCACTAACCAACATATTTATATCCATCCTTATACATTTTCTAGCACAGACCATGCCTAACTCCACTGCCTTTAGCATTGCTAGATGTGCTAGATGTGCAGGTTATTGGATTACAGCCATGTTGGTCCCAGGATATGAGAGTGACAAGCTGATCAGATGTCCCAGTTTTATAGGGACTGTGCTGATATTTGAGGCTTTGTCTTACATAGGTACCTATTACCCCTTATCCCTGTTGTGATTTTTCATGCGATTTGGTCACCCTATATCTTGTATTGGACCAACGTCTGTTGGTGACAAAGACAATCTTTTGAGCTTCCCACGAAGCTGTTTCAGGCCCGTATAAACTCAAAAGCCTCTCTCTCTCCCAACAGAAGTGGGTGCAAGATATTACCTCCCCCATCTTGTCTCCATTTTAGTGAGGGAAGACCGGGCAGGGATGCCCTGGGTAGACAGATTAGGCTTCCTTTTCCACAGCCTAGCTTTTCACTAAGGGACAAACTATTATCCCAGATCTTTGCTTCCCACACCCCTACCCCATTCCCCCTGGCCTGGGTGTGCGCCCTTTTCCCAGCTTCCTCACTGGCAGCCTGCTCCCTAGTGATGTGCTAAGATTTCCATTCCCCAGTCTCCGCCTGTTACACTGGCGGAGCCGCGGAGAGGCAGCTTCTCTCTCTCTCTCTCCCGCTCCATTTTCACAACTCCCCCTCACCCTCTTTGCTTTCTTTCCCCCTCTCTCGCTTTCTGGACTTGGCTGTATTTGGCGCTGCCGGAAGCTGCGGTGCGTGTCCTGCTCCCTAGTGATGTGCTAAGATTTCCATTCCCCAGTCTCCGCCTGTTACACTGGCGGAGCCGCGGAGAGGCAGCTTCTCTCTCTCTCTCTCCCGCTCCATTTTCACAACTCCCCCTCACCCTCTTTGCTTTCTTTCCCCCTCTCTCGCTTTCTGGACTTGGCTGTATTTGGCGCTGCCGGAAGCTGCGGTGCGTGTCTCTCCGCCGGCCTGACTGACACCCGCTCCCACGGCGGGCAGGGGAAGGGAGGAGGCAGCGGCCACGGCTTTTCCCCGCAGAGAGGCGGCGGGCAGGCGGCTCCCCGGGCCAGGTAAGCGCAGAGCGGCTGGGGCGCGGGATGGGGCGACCCGCAGCGGGGCGCGGGCGCTGCGCGCAGGCGGCTGTGCCGAGGGGCCCGGCTGTGCCAGGCGGCGGCTGAGGACATCTTCGGGGCGCGGAGGAGCGGGTGTGTGGGGAGGGGGGGTCTCTGTGCCAGGGTGACCCCCGAGCAGTGCTGCCTTGGCGGGCTCCTGAGAGGGCCGGGGCTGCTTGTGCCGCCTCTATCTGGGTCAGCGCGGCACTGGCGCTGCCTCCCCCGCATGCTCTGCTTGGGGCTGTGGCCTGCTGCTGGCCTGGGCCCAGGCTGGCTCTTCAGCTTTCGCCTCGGCCCCAGCTATGCTCCGCGGTGAAGCCGGGCTGAGTGACAGCTGCAGGCAGCCGCCGCCGAGACGCTCTCGCAGCCAAGCAGGGCGTTCACTAGAAACAGCGGCTCCACCTGCATAGCCTCCCGGAGCAGGCGGAGGTGTGTGGCAGCCCCCGAGAGCAGCGCTGCAGGGTTTGGCGGGTTGAGGGTGTAGTTAGTCATAAAGGTTATTGGATCAGAGACCCCACCCTCGCCTCACCACGTTTTCCTATGAGATTATTCTGCTTGTTCCGTTAGGTGTAATGGTGTCAAGCGGTGCCCTACTGATGCGGGCAGGGCACGACTAAGATTGGCTAATTTTGTTCAGTAGCCCGGGCTGTGATGGTGGGTAGGCTCACAATGTGCCAGGGTATTCCTAGAGCCAGAGACGCACATTTTTAGGTGACAAGATTTAGGTTAGTGGTTAGCCTACAGGTATAGCTTCGTGGGAAACAAAACCTTAAAGAGAGAAATTGCTAAATTGGATATACCATGTAAGGGAGGGCATGTAACAGAGAGACACCACTTACAGGGATGCTACAAAACCGAAGGATAGGGGGGGGGGAAGGGGGAGAGCAAGAGAGAAGAATCAAAGAACTCAAAGCCTATCCCTTGCATTTTGAAATCATTGTGCATTTTTAAAGGAATACCTTCCACATATTCATTTTGCACCATAGCAGAGTTCATCATGAGTCAACCTGAAAGGCTGTAAAATACATATTATTTGTTTGTGAATGTGAATGTAGAGCCAAATCTTTGGACAGACAAGTACAGCTTATGATTTATATCAAATCAGACTCAAATTTTATCCTTCTTGCATAAAAGACTTTGACTTTCAAAGTTCCATTATCCAAATGTGTTCTACTATTGCAGTGATAGAATATATTTAAAGAAAAAAACATTGATCTAGAGGCAGATATATTAACATTTTTAAAGGACACTACTGTGTTTTGAAAAAAAATGCAGGATATAGATAAAAAATAGTATTTGGTTCACTGGGTCCCATGCTTCATTTTTCTATGAAATCATTATCTGAAACCATTCATATTTCAGGGAGTGAGTGATATTTTTAAAAGTATTTTGTAGATGATGGGGGTGGTTAAAACCTCCACACAACTGCAAGCTGTTAAATATTGTTTCTCAGAGCTGTCCTTATTACATAAGGTATTAATGCATTAGCAAAGGGAATATTTGCACATCCTAATTATTATGCCCCAGGCGTATTGTAGAAGGTTTCTCTTGTTTACAGTCCACAGGACAGTAGTTTGTTAGCTTTTGTTTAACGTTAACTTTAAAACAAAGATTACATAACATTGCAATTCTGTATTTTATTAAAATTCAATGGAGGAAAATAGGGAAAGCTTTTAAACAATGTAATGCTACAAACAGTGCATTTTCTATAAGGAAGCAAAGTGTGTAGAACAAAATGACATTTTAGATATTTGTTATAATGACATGTTACAGGGCCTTGTAAATATTCTGTGATTCATCAACCTTTTCTTCCTCTAGTAAGTGAACACTGCTCAGATCCAGAAGGTGCACAGGCAGAACTCCAAGTGTAATGAATTAAAGATGTTTTCTCAATTAAATAAAAATGAAAAAAGGGTGTGCATTATTTACTACAGTAGGTCTAACAAATCACATGGCTTGGTCATCCATTGTAGACAATGGCAAATACTTCAGTGCAAAAATATTTGGTATATTCAGTCCTACAGCTAATGGGGAATTATCTTGTTATACTAAAATCCTGTTTTAACTGAAGTAAAAACAAAAATATTTAACTATGTTCATATCAAACTTCTACACTCTAAACCATAACTCATTTAAATCTCTCTTGCAAAAACAATAACTTAAATCCTTATAGTGGTCCCAAAAGAACACTACAATTATCCTCAAAAGAGGAATGCAGTGTAGACATACCCTCAGGCTATGTATACACTGGCGCGATCTTGTGCCAGAAATATGCAAATGAGGCTAAGCGTAGAATATCGCCGAGCCTCGTTTGCATATCTAATGAGCTGCCATTTTTGCGGAAGAGGCTCTTGAGCCAGAAGGAGCTGTCTACACTGCCCCTTCTTGCACAAGAAAAACCCTCTTGCACAATGCCGTTACGCTGATTATTTTCAGAAATAACAGCATTGCGCAAGAGGGTTTTTCTTGTGCAAGAAGGGGCAGTGTAGACAGCTCCATTAGATATGCAAATGAGGCTCGGTGATATTCCACGCTTAGCCTCATTTGCATACTTCTGGCGCAAGATCACGCCAGTGTAGACATAGCCTCACAGTTTAGGAAGAAGAACAGTTCAGCCTTGTAAAGATTTCATGTCCAGAAGAGCAGCCATGTTAGAAAAGGTTAAATGTACAATTGGTCAAATTAAACAAGACCTAATCAGGTCTAATTTGGTCATTCAGGAGTTCATAATTCCAAACATTGAAACTCTGACATGAAATACATTGCCTACATGGGATAAGTCGCCAAGCACAACCTTGTTCAGAAATTTAAAAAGTATATTGAAGAAAAATTGTTGTCCTAGCTTGTCAGTGGTGAAATGAAGATGCTTCAGTTATCAGGAATATGCTCTTTTGCTCTCATAAATGGGTAAGGTTGAGGTTGATCACTAATGAGAGGGAAGATCTCAAAATAGGAACCAAAGTGCTATAAGAAATGTTGTTGGTGATTCAGTAGGTGGCACTCTTCATTCTGTGTCAGAAGCGAATACATGGCCCAGCATAATTCTGGAGGCACTGTGGTATTAGAGCCTTTGTCTTTGTAATGAAACATGAAAAAAAGGGCCTGATTACTTGCAATCAGTAAAAATCACAGTGCTTTTTGCAAGAGAAACAATGGTATTCACCTTGTCTTACAACAGGATATGGCAGTATTCTTCACTTATTCTAAACTCCTGTGAGTTGTGGGACCAATGCTATATTCTACACCAGAAGTGGCTGCATTCCCACATTGAATGAACTTTATAATTAGAGGAAGCATTTCAAACTTAATGTGGTCCAGGAATGATGGATTTTTTAATTATCATATGGCTGAACTGTCCTCATTTTCTTATTGTGCAATTTATAGGATCATTTAGTGTATACATGGTAACTGTTTTCTATTCTCATTTCTCATTCCACAAGTACCTACTCTAGCTCTCACAGGGTATGTCTACACTAGGAAGTTATTTCAAAATAACTCCCCTTATTTCAAATTAATAAGGAAAGCGTCCACACAACAAGCCTGTTATTTTGAAATAACAGGCTTGTTATTTTGAAATAACTTCTGCTTGTGAAGAGGAATAATGCTTATTTTGAAATTGTTATTTTGAAATAGTGTTAGTGTGGACACTCAGCTGCTGTTATTTCAAAATATTGGCCTCCAGAGGCCTCTCACAGCTGCCGGTGTGACCACTCTGGCCACACCCCTGGCAACTCATTAATTTAAGTGAGATTCAGATAATGTTGTTCGTCCTCGTTTTGCGGAAAACTCCTTTCTCCCATCTCTAAGAACTAGAATAGAGGAATGCTGCATGATTCCCTGGTATGTTTCTCTATGGTAGCATGAAATAGAATTTGGGTGTGGTGAGAGGTGGGCAAGAAGAATGGTGTGTTAATATGCCGTAGGCCTCACTTAGAACTTGATCTAAATCTCTTGAAGGGAATTGGAGCCTTTCCACTGACTTTAGTGGGAGTTGAATCAGGCTTTGTGAAGCCACAGCTGGTATAGCCCACAGAGTACAGTATTAATAGTAGTAGGCTGTTGTCTTAAATCTTGAATAATGCTGGTATAATCAGGTTTGAATGGGAGAATGTGATTTGCATTCCTTTATTTAGAAAAGATTACCTATTGGCAGCTATCTTGTCTGAATAAAACAAAACTGTGTGAAGGATGCAGGATTTGGCAGAGAATGGACTTTCTCGAAAGCTAGAGTGTGCTATAGAGAAATGACCAAATTTGCCCAAAGTGGTTGTAAGAGCAACCAAATGATTGCTAATTCTGGAAATTTTGCCTGAAGACTATTGTCTTCTTTCCTGTCAATTTGTTGTTTGGCATACTTCTGTCTGGTCAAATAAGTGAAACACTGAGAGCTTTGCGTTGTGGCGCATACCCTTTTAAACAGTACAAATGCATTTTAAAGTACAACTTAGATTGAACTCTAATTTAGTTAGGATTTTACTGAATGAAGTCTTATTGAACAAAGTTGCCATACTTCCCCGGCTCCAATATCTGTAGCTGTATGCAGTATATTCTCCAAGTTCAGCACTGCAGTTTGCTTGCATACAGTAATTGGACTTGTGGCATGTAATTAAATGGCTTGCAAGTCTTATAGAATGTTTGATTACTTGAACAGTATTATGCTAATACATGGCAAAGGGGTGCCTAAGAACACAGTATAGCTATTGATGGGAAAGATTCTTAAAATCTTACACTTCACTGGTCACAAAGAGAAGCAAGTAAAACAAGACAAAGATAAGGAGAGAACAGAGCACAGCAACATAAAAGGTAGCATAAATGATGAGGAGGATGAACTAGGAAATGGGTTGCCGTGGTTATTTTAACTCCATGACACTGACAATCCTTGATTGTTACAGTAGATCATTAAATAATGAACTTTTCTTTGTCATCACCACTGATAAAGCATTAACGGTTATTCAACTGTGGATAGGATTTAAAAAAAAACAGAACTTGGTAGTCATGTATAATTAGAGGATCAACTGCTATTTCAAGGGATACTAAATATATATGCACATACTGTAGTCAAAAATGTGAATCAGTGAATATTTCAAAGACCTCAGCATACTCAGTGTGATCATACACAGATTCTTGAATAATTATCCTGGCTTTTGCTATTTCTCTTACCTATACTTATATGAGAATATATTGGGAGATGGTAATAAACTTATATTTCTAATTTTAGTCACCATTTTGCTGTGTGAGATTTTTTTAAATGAAAGATCTCACAATATAAAATATTGTCAAAATATAAAATGCTGCACTCTCCTCTTGAATGTTGTTTTTCTAAAAATTTGGTCTGACAGAAAATCCAAAGGAAAGAGGGGAAAATGAGAGGAAAAACCAAACCCTCGGTAGGGAGGCTCTCCAGTTCTAGTCAATTTGCATACCAACTCTGTGAAGTTAAAGAAAGGAAAAGGCTTGGGAAAAAGTGAAGAAAACAAGGAAAAGTCAGAATTTTCCCTTCTCCATTGAGGTGACATCTGATAAAAAGGCTTTTAAAACACAACACTCTACCTGAGTGTACCTCAGAAAACAAAACAAAATCCTGTTAGGTACCATCTTGTATGCTTAAATTATATTAAAATACCCAGTTTCATTAATAGAAAATCAGTTTCCATCATGATACAGATATTAAAATTCCTTTATACTTTGTACTGTACTAGAACTAATCAAAAGCTTCAAATACTGGCAATTTTTTTCCATTTCAAATTTTAACCAAAAACAAAACAAACAAAAAAACTCCCAAATCTTCCCACTCACATTTTTGTCTTGCTTTTTCCAAGGCTAGTTATTAAAGCTAATCAAAATATTGACACAAAATCAGAATGCCATCAAAAATGCAAAAGTATTGTTTTATTATATTCTAAATTTAGAAGGTTTTTCCAGACAGCTGTCCTATACATTTAGGAGCACACTGTTCCTAAAACAACCTACATCAGAGCTTAAGCAAAATGAGAAGAAAGCTAATCTAAGGCTCAGGTTTAAGTACAAAATCACCCTTTCCCTAAGTAGGGTTTTATTGCAGGGATTCTTGCTTAATCTAAATTGACATACATTTGTCAAGACTCTTAACTACATTCTTTTAATGGAGTTAAAATAAAAACAAAGTACTAACCATACAAGGTAGCACTTCTGTTTCTCTATCATGCCATATGCAGACTTCTGGCAGACATGCTGTTCTTATCTCACTGTCTTTGCAGCTAAACCCCCCTTTTGTCTTCTTCCACTTTCACCCTGTCATGAAGCAAGCTCTTTTCCTTTTCTTTCTCCTACTTCTCTTCTCTCCCACCTCCTTTGAGGTGATGAAATTAAATAGGCTCCTCTACACTTAATTAGTACCATTCCATTCCTCTCCTCTCCCTCCCTCAGGTGGATAAAAATCAATGATATCAAAAAATAAAAAATCAGATTTTTTTATAAAAATCTTTTTGAGAGAAAACCCCCTATCTAAAGATACATTATAACTCAAAGATATCTCATCATGAAATAGGGATTATAAATTTTAATTTTATAGTGTGAGATAATAAATTCATGTAATGTTTAAAAAAAGTTTTGCATAGGTCATGAATTAAGGACCCAATTTTATGGGATTCCAGATGCTTCTGTACAGATTATTTAGGTTAGTCTTTTTTATCTACACAATAGGATTTAGTGCTCAGTCTAGAAGATACCATCAGAGATGCTTAGTTTTGTAGTTCTCAAACTGTGGATTTGTGTCTCCAGAAATAATATGCTTGTTAACAGCAAACATGTTTTGAATAAATAAACAAATAAACAGAGGCAAGAAAAAGAAATAGAGGTGAGAAATAACAGACCTCAACCCTAATTGTTCCTCTGCAAATTTGTGTACAGAGTCAATCCCTTACCACTTTCTAAAAGTGTAAAGTTTCAAAAAAGTGTAATGAGTTGAAGATTGTTGTGGGCAGAATAGATCCGGGCAAGGAGAAGAAATCTGGAGAGAAATGTGAGAAGGAAGGGAGGAACAGTAGAAACAAAAATGAGATTGTTTGAACAGAAGTCTTGAGGTCTTTCTGAGTGTAGTCTTCATTGATTTGAGATCTACCACAACCTCCTCTCACTACAGGGCTGTGTCCAGACTCAGGGTTTTTTTCGGGAAAAGTAGCCTTTTCCCGAAAAAACTTCCCCTGCGTCCAGACTCAAGCCGCGTTCTTTCGAAATTATTTCGAAAGAACGTGGCTTTTCTTTCGATGGCGGTAAACCTCGTTTCACGAGGAAGAAAGCCTTCTTTCGAAAGAAGGCGTTTTTCAATGTAAATAGGGCTTCCTCGAAAGAGAGCATCCAGACTCGCTGGGTGCTCTCTTTCGAAAAAGCGGATTGCTCTTTCGAAAGAACCGCCTGCAGTCTAGACGCGATCTTTCGAAAGATGCTTTCGAAAGAGCCTCTTTCGAAAGAAGCCTGCAGTCTAGACATAGCCTAAGGGAAAATCTAGAGTGGTGGAGGCCATAAAAGAGACCAGGTTTGGGAATATTTTAATGAAGTTCCTCTACCTTTGGGTAAGATAGAGACGTGTAAAATGCAAACAGTGCAACAAGCCTGGTTGCCTGAATGAAACAACGTCATGAGAAGAGCTCTTTCTCAGGAGGAAGTTGCATTGAAGATGATGAAAGGAACATGTCTGAACGTGCAGGATCTTGAGTTTGGTAAACTTTTTTTTTATTTTATACATCTTTTTTAATGACTGTCTGTCTTACTTCTGAACTATTCTTGAATTCTCATGTTTGAGCAAAAAATATAGTTGTTACTTTATGGTACAATCATTCTTGATGCAGTTGTGATAAAAAATAAATAGCTGAAATAGGCCGATCTTCCTTGTACAATTTCACCTTTAAAGTAGTACAGAGTGTCAGTGAATACGAGTAATACTAACTGAGCAGTATGGTAATAATTAAATAACTGCATTGACTTATTTTGTTTAAGAGAATCCATCCTCAACATACAGGATTCTGAAGACTATCTAGATCACCATAATTTTCTGTAGTTTCAGAGTTATCTGACAATGGTAGGGTTTCAGTCACATCATGTATGTCACATAGCTACAGTATAGGAACTGTAGCAAAAAGGGAAAAAAACCCTTCCATCATCCAGAAACAACCATAGATGAGCTTATGATAAGAAGCAGCAGATTACAAAAAGATGTAATTGATGAAAAAATTGCCTGGTTTGTTTATGCAGCAAACTCTCCTTTCCGTATGATTGAGAACCCACACTTCATTAACTTGGTTCACTCATTAAAACCAGGATACAGTCCATCCAACAGAGCAAATATCAAAGGCAAATTGCTGGATAACTTATATGAAAGAGAAACCGAGCAGTGTGCAAAAGGTCTAGAGCAGTGGTTCCCAATCTTTTTGATACTGGGGACCAGTAAACCCATTCACAAGCTTTTGGAGGACCGGTAACATTTATTTGCATAGTTGCATATTCATTAAGCAAATGATAAAATGCAAATAATTGTTTCTGGTCCTCCCAAAGCCCCCAGTGCCAACTTTAGCAAAGCTTTTGATATGGTCTCCCACAATATTCCTCTCAGCAAGTTACGCTCACAAATATGATGGAACTCACAACAGGCTGCAACCAAGATTCCCTGTACGCTGCATGGTAGCATGGCCCTGCCCCTGCTTAATGAGCCCCGCCCAGCCAGGGGTTCAGGGCTCTGTGCATGGATGTGTCCCTAGTGGCTGAGAGTGACTCGCTGCTCTTTCCTCAGTGGGGAGCTGCTATTGTAGTTGAGGGTGACATGCCCCTCCCCCAGCTAGGTAGCTCTGTGTGCAGAACCCTGAGCCCCCGGCAGCTTCGAGAGAGCATTGGCTGCAACACAATGGGAATGTTGCATTTGCTGAGGTCTAACCTAGGTATTAGGCTGCAGAACCTTCCCTTTAAATGCTAAAAAGCACATTCTACCACCGTAATGCACTTGTTCAGCCTGTAGTTGAACTGCTCCTTATGGCTTCATGAGCCATGAGAGCAATAGGTCGCCAAAGATGACTATTGGCATTCCCACATCTCCAATTTTAATTTTCTGGCCTGGGAAAAAGTTCCAGCTTGCAGCTTGCCAAAGAGGCAGGAGTTCCTAAAGATGTGCGCATCATGCACCTTTTCCAGCCATCCCACACTGAAACGGCACTTGTGATCCACTAGCCTCTAGTGTACCATTGAGAAGTACCCCATGCAGTTTATGTTATCCTTTGCAAGATGGTTAGGTGCCAGGATGGGAATGTGCATTCCATCTATCACTCCACCACAGTTAGGGAACCCCATTGTGGGGCATCCCTCCACTATGTCCTCTTTATGTCTCAGAATCACTACCCTCCATCGCAGATTAGGATTCTTTGGCTACTTAGAATAATAATAATAGAATTCTAGAACTAGAAGGGACCTCGAGAGGTCATCAAGTCCAGTCCCAAGCACTGTCTAGATCATCCCTGACAGGAGTCTGTCTAACCTGCTCTTAAATATCACCAGTGATGGAGATTCCACAACCTCCCTAGGTAATTTATTGCAGTGTTTAAACCAGCCTGACTGTTAGGAAGCCTAAACCTCCCTTGCTGCAGTTTAAGCCCATTGCTTCTTGTCCTATCCTCAGAGGCCAAGGAGAACAATTTTTCTCCCTCTTTCTTATAACACCCTTTTAGATATTTGAAAACTGCTATCATCTCCCCTTGATCACAACAACCCGCACTGTAGATTTCCCCACTCTGAATTGATTCCCAACTGTGACCGATAACTGTCTGGTGTTGCAAGCTTCCATGGAGCAATTGCCATGCGTTTCTCCACAGTCAGAGTGAGTCTCATTCAGGTATTCCTGTACTTTAGAGAGGGGGAAAGCATGTCACAAACTTATGTGAAAGTGGCCTTATGGCTTCATGAAAGTTTTTCAGCCACTGCTGATCGTCCCATACTAGCATAACAATGTGGTCCCATCAGTCTGTGATCATCTGACAGCAGCAGAACTGGTGTTGTGCTGTGTCCAGAAGATCAAATGCCAGCAGCATTTGTAATTCACTCAACGCAGGTGCTTCTCAGAAGGGGATGTTCATGGTCTCCTGAGATTCTTCCTCATTCTGGCAGGCCCTGGATATGCTGTTTGCCATTTGTCTTAAGCAGGGGAGGAGGGAGGAAACCGGTGTATTATGGACTGCTGATTAAATGTACCCAGAACTACCCGCTGTACAGTTCTGGTCTCAGCGTGCACTGGGAGCATAACCCAGAAGGCAAAGGGGCGCAAGCGCTATGGGATAGCTACCCACAGTGCATCGCTCTCAAAGTTGATGTTAGCCATCATAGTAGGAATGAATTGCTTTGAACTATGTCAAATTCTTGCACACCATGAGGACAAGCACCTTTGACTTTGCAAAATTGGATGTTAAAAAGACGATCTTAATACATTCAGCCTTTATTTTGTAGTGTAGAAATGGTCCCAGATTTCTTCTTAGCTGCCAACCTCTTCAGAATCAAACAAACCATCTTTTTAATTTTAAATTGAGTGAATGCGAAAGGGAAATAAACGTGAAACCCTATACAACACTATTTTTAAAGTACTTTTCAGACTAAGAGCACTGCTTCTGTTTAACACTAAAATCTTGGCTCTTCTGATTGTCGTCATATTTTTTTCACATTTTAATTTTTTATGCTACTGTGCTACTTACGCTCATGAACTTAACGCTCATGAGACAAAGCAATATGATTCTCTCCTGTCGGCCATGCGGAATCAGGAGTGGCCTGAGGTGGGCTGCGGCAGCTGGTGCCCCAGGAGGAACGCGCAATCGGCGCCCCCACCTGCACGGCCATCAATGGGATGATGTCATCATTGGGCGCCATTGAAGGCAGCGCCCTTGGCGACAGCAGAGTCAGCCTGTAGCCATGGGCTGCCCCCGTGCGGAATGATGGCAGGAGCAGGCCCATTTGTGCTGCTCATTCTTTGTCTGCTGGATTGGAAGCTATTTGAGATGAAGAGTATCAAGAGAAGTTCTTCAGCAGTTTTTTTTCTTTCCTAGGTTAAAAGCATAAGTATATTTGTTGGTGGGGTCAGATGGGAGTGGGAAAGGAATGTGATTCTGGTTTAAGGTTGGCCTACAAAATACACTCTGCCCTTTACTCTATAGCTGTGCTAGTCTTCTTGGACTCAGAGAAAAAATGAACGGTGACCCCTATCCAACATCACCTACGTGTACCACCAAAATAAGATATCGCTCTTAGTCAGTTATGTAGGCCTGTGATCCCCCTCTTCTTTCTTAGATGCATGAAACAGTTAACAGTATTGGAGTTTAAATCATCATCAGTGGGCATCTTAGTTAACACCATAATGAGCACCTTTCAGAGAGATTTTTCCAGGCTCGGGCAGGCTATGCCTTTACTGAAAAGAAAAAAAAACAAAAACAAAAAACTGTTTTTTGTGCATGGTTTTTTTTTCTTTTTTCTTTTTATCATCGGATAGTTGTCTTGTCTTGGACTGTAGGTCAGGGGTGGGGAATAGCCCCCGGCTTGTCTGGATCCAGTCCCCAAGGTTCAAGACCCTTTCTGCATTGGGGAGCCTGTGCTGGCACTCCAACCTCCCTACCCTTGGCTGCTCCACCACAGGCTGGAGCACACAAAGTCTCCTAGGCTGGGCTCCCCAGGCTCTGGTTTGCGAGAATGTGGGGAGTGTGTTTCTCCTTCTCAGTCAGGCAACACATCAGTGAAGGGTTTTTGTGTGCAGTCCCCGACTGATTTTTCTGTAGGTCAAAGGCCCCCATCCCAAAAAAGGTTCCCCACCCCTGCTGTAGGTGGTCCTTATTTCAGGATAAGTCAACCCAACTTCACTTTAGAGTCTTTTACAACTTGAGTTTTGACTGTAGCACATGAGATTTGTGTAGACTGTGGAAGAAAGAGTCTATAGTTTGTTTAGGGGTTAACAATGCTTTGTTTAAGAAACAGTTCTTACATTTTCTCAATCTTGCACATTTTGGAAGGTCTTCTGATACCATCTATCATATTTAAATCAGATAAAGAACCTGATATATTAAAACTAGCAAAAAAAATCTGGAATGTTTATGACCAGGTCACTCACTGAATATGCACATTAAATTTTGGAAAAAAAAACCAATATACACATCTGTTGGAGGCAGGTTGAATTCCACCCTGCACTTAGTACGGTCCACATTCACCCTGGATCTAGTCCAAGCTTACCCGCTTCCAGGTATTTGCCTTTAATTCTATTGTAAACAAGAACAAAATATAAATCTTGGCCAATGCTTTTTCCTGAAAATTACTATTCCTAGGGTTTTTCCAATATAGACTCCCTTGTCTCTGCTTCTAGTCTGCCCCAGTCACGTACAGACCTTATTAAACTCTTAGTTTTGAGCAAAAAGGACCCATCTGGCCTGACAGCCAAGGTGAATCAGCAGAAGAGCTCTGTATTTCTATATAGGAAAATAATACATTGTTACATCTTTGAAAAAAATTAATGTTTAAAATATTTTAATTTATTATTATTAATAATAATACTTTTAATAATAATTATAAAAAACTCTCTTTGCATATTGGGATACCTTATAATAGTACTTTAGACACTTTCCCCACATTTTGGGACTGGTAGTAGTACAATAGTGTTTGTTTTGGCTGCCAGTATAGCTTAATAATATGCAGTTTGCTGGATTCTAGTATTATACACTTGGTCTCTCTGAGGGATTAACGCTTTTAGCAATGATGCTTATTAGGAAATAACACATGCATACCCTAGATGTCACTTAGTGGGATAAAATGTTCACAACCTTAAATGGAATATGTGTGCATGGAACCTGTGAAATAAATGATGGGGGGGGGGGGGGGGGGAAGGGGTTTACCATGCTTTGAAACCTAGCTATGTATTTGATTTGTTCACATTGTGTACTTCGGTAAAGAAAAAAAGGCAATGTTAACTGATGAGAGGTCAGATCTTAAAGAAGCAAATAGAAGACCTTCTTGGTTTCTTGAACTGAAGATATGTAATCATTAGTAAAAATAACCAAGACAGAATTTTACCACAGTATATTACAAGGATTGGAAAGATTTAGGAAATCCAAGAGAAGGGTGTATGTTCACAGCTCAGTTTTACTCCAGATTTAACTAATATTCCATATTGTGTCTGTAAATAGTAGACACAAATGATTATAGGCACAACCTTATGCCAACAATTATTTGCAACTATATTTAATTTTCTAGAATATCTAAGTACCTTATCTGCAGCTGCCATCAGGCTGTCCAAGTACCCAAAATTACACTCTGTCATTTGTACTGGTTATTTGGAGATGTAAAATTAGGGACCACTTTTGGAAACCCATCCCTTAAACCATAGCTTAAATGTATGGGAGAGAAGAGAGGAGACTGTTTTTCTAATGTTGTGATGATGCAAGCTAAGTAATTCTTAGGAAGATCAGTAAAACTGTCTTTATCCTAGACATAGATGAAAGTTAAACCCACCAAAAACTATAGAAGAACGATAATGCTGTAAAACCTGTGCTTGTATCAAATATCTAACATTGCTTCTGTCTCTGGTTCAGTTTTTCAGAATGGCGGAAACACAGATGTTGATGGAGAGGCTAGAAAAGGCTGTAATTCGACTTGAAACATTGTTTTCAGCTTCACACAGATCCATTGGAATGGAGTGTGGAGTTGTAAATGGAGTCAATGGAGGTATGAGTGACTTTTTCAATAACAGCAGGCCTTTTTTTGGAATGCCAGATATACAACCTGGATATGGAGCATGTTTTTTGTTCCCAGAGAGAGAACAATCCCAGCCCTTTGAAAGCTGCCTATTATCAGGAATTTTGTTTTTCCTTTTTGTAGATCCATTTGGAAAATGTCAGGAGGCAACCTTAATCTTATTCGTAATCATACAGTAACACACCCTAGAAAATTCAAGATTTGAACTAGTCTTAAATATATAGTCGAGATTTCAAGCTTTATTGTTTTTTCTGTTTTACTGTTTAGATTGTTACAGAGTACTCATGAGTTGAAAATGTCTGCTGAGGCTAATTAGCAGAAGACATGAGTGTCCTTTAAAAGTCAGAACATACATTTTATAGAAGAAATCTACAATTCAAACATTGGATTTATTTTCCGGCTCCTTGGATTTCACTTTGCAGAAACATGGCATTTAATTACTTGATCTTTGTAATCACAGCTGAATTTGCTCATAAGCATTTGCTCACTAATCCCTGCCACCATCAAAGCATTGGCCTTGTTTTATCCTCTGCATCCAGAAGTGCATCTCCAAAGCCCTGGAGTTTGGAACAGTGGAAGGAAGGCTAAGATTACAATCTACCTGCCCTTGTCTGTATCAGGTTGCCAAGCCATCTTAATTTAGACTTTTGATTGTCCTTCAAATTTCCAGGTTAAGCAAAACTGCAGGAGTGAATATTCAAACAAGAACACATGTCCCACACAGAAAGTGGGAAAATAAATAACTGTTAAGAACAATGTCATTTCAAAACATAGGTCCCAATCCTGCAATGAGCTTCATGTGGGAAAGACCCCTGAATTCACAGAAAGTGCAATGCAGGATTGGAGCCACTGTTACTAAGGTCCCTCTTCTCATTATTTTAATTGCAAAACCAGATCTGCCCATGAAATTTGCACAACTCTGTGCCTATGCAGCCAGCTACAGCTGATGGGGATTCGCCACTGGGGAAGAGGCAGCTTTAAAATCTTGTCTGGACTCCACAGGAACCCAACCAGCAAAGCCTGTCTGTGAGAGGTTGTAAATCAACATATCTCCCAGCTGGCCTGGCCCTGCTTATGCTGGAGGCTGCATCAATCAGTTCCAAGTTTCCTGGAGGAGAAGGAGCTACTGGTTGTTTCATGTATGGTACAACTGCCAAAGGCACTGATGGGAGCTCAGAACCTAGGTTGTATTGGCAGAGTGCATAGAGTCCACATCATGTACAGTGTTATGCTCAAAAAATCGGTGAGTTTGGAAAGATGGTATCACTTCTAGCAATAGTGCTCACTTTGGGCCATTGTTACTTGTGTGAGGTCAGGAGCACAGCTATATGTTATATGGTGGTGAGTCCAAGTCAGGGCAGGTCCACACATTCCAAATAGTCTCTGTGGCTAAACACAGTGGCCCAAGCTCTTCACTAGAGATGAATTTGGCACAGTAACACTGCACATAGAACAACGAGAAGTCCTGTGGCATCTTATAAACTAACAGATTTATTGGAGCATAAGCTTTCGTGGGCAAGGACCCACTTCGTCAGCTGCATGTAGTGGAAATTCCAGAGGCAGGTATAAATATACAGGCATAAGAAAAGAGTACCAATCAAGAGTAAGGCTAGAGATAACGAGGTCAATTCAGTCAGGGAGGATGAGGCCCACTTCTAGAAGCTGATGTGGAGGTGTGAAAACCAAGAGAGGAGAGACTGTTTTTGTACTTGACTAGCCATTCACAGTCTTTGTTTAATCCTAAAGTGATAGTATCAAATTTGAAGATTAACTGTAGCTCAGAAGTTTCTCTTTGAAGCCTGTTCTTGAAGTTTTTTTGTTGCAGGATGGCTACTTTTCAAGATTGAAAGAAGCAGATTTAAAAGTAGCATCCTGCAACAAAAAAACTGGTGTTCACACCTCCACATCAGCTGCTAGAAGAGGGCCTCATCCTCCCTGACTGAATTGACCTCGTTATCTCTAGCCTTACTCTTGATTGGTACTCTTTTCTTATGCCTGTATATGTATACCTGCCTCTGGAATTTCCACTACATGCAGCTGACGAAGTGGGTCCTTGCCCACGAAAGCTTATGCTCCAATAAATCTGTTAGTCTAAAAGGTGCCACAGGACGTCTCGTTGTTCTTGCAGATTCAGACTAACATGGCTACCCCTCCGATACCGCACATAAAGTTCCCCATCTATATTTATTTACAGCCGCTTTACTTGAGAGTGACCATCAAAAATGGAGGCTCTGGCATGTCTCCTAAAAACATGTTTTAAGCCACCTTATAGCTCAGTGTCCTGATATAGTCGTAGAGCATTATAGTTGCACCGATCTTATAGGAAGGGTATGTCTTTATTTCTTTTAAAACAGGAACTTGTGTAAAAGAGTATGTTTTCCCATAGTAAGGAACCGGATAATTTACTGTTGCTTACTTCATTGTATATGTGTGATCAGTTAGGCCTGAATGTATATTATATTCCTTCTTAGTTGATTATTACTTTTATCATACATGGCACAGGGGAGGAAAGTACACATTTTGATACTGAATATCATGGTAGCAGGCTTGCAGGCAAAACATGCAGTTTCTGAATTACAGAGAGGTCCACTCTGAAAACTCTAGCATATGGTCTCAGAAATCAGCAGATTTGTTTCCTAAAAATAGGTGGAGCTGTGGTCTGGGTTTTTACTGTGTTAGTACAGATGATGAGCTACTGTTTGAGTCTCTCTGCTCCAAAATAAAAGATTAAAATGAGTGTCTTGGACACTGGCATGAATTTTTGCAGTGAATATTTATGGGCTTTGGAAAACATTTTTTCTCTGCCATAAAAACCTTTGTGCAGTAAGTTCAAGAGACTTATACATAAACATTTCAAATGGACGAAAGCCCAGAAATTTCGTAAAATAAAAGGTGAGAGAAAAGTAAGCGACATAAGGAGAACAGGACAACCTAGGCATCCCATCAGGCAGTTTAAGCACAATGTGCTAAATCCAGGCAATTCCGAGTCTGTATTGTCAAAGCTAGCGTTTTCTATCAAAGGGCCAACATGTTGTTACTGCAGAAAGAGCTTTCAGAGTTATTAATCATAGTTCTGCAGTGCAATCTGGCTAAGAACATTGAGCAAAGTCTGCTGTCCTTTCAGAATACACTTCAAGTTTTACCAAGTAGAGGTAAGCTCAGGAGAAAGGGAGGAAATAATTTTGATTTGTGTGCCTTAAATTTACACATGTGTTGGATCAGGGACCAAGGGTATGTCTACACTATCCCCCTAGTTCGAACTAGGGGGGTAATGTATGCATACCGAACTTGCTAATGAAGCCCGGGATTTGAATTTCCCGGGCTTCATTAGCATAAAGCCGGCGTTATGCTAATGAAGCCCGGGAAATTCAAATCCCGGGCTTCATTAGCAAGTTCGGTATGCATACATTACCCCCCTAGTTCGAACTAGGGGGATAGTGTAGACATACCCATAGAGAGGATATGAGGGTATATCAGGAAGCAAAAAAGGATCTGGAAAACATCCAAGAAAAGCTTGCTTTCTCTGGCATACGTGGTATAGAAGGCTATTCAGAAAGTCGGTTTGGTATAAGAAACTGACTCTTAGCTGAGTTTTCCAGTGGTCCAGACAATCCATGTCCAGTTTAAATGGAATCCACTATATCAGGAGACAGTAATATACTCTAGATGAAAAATCGTGCTTGATATGTTAAAGGTCATATAGTCTTGAGATTAATCATTTAAGAAAGTTAGGGTTGTTTTCCAGTGACTGGATGAGCTTTTATCATAAATAGAATTTGCAGTTTTGCAAGCTCGGACAATGAAACAAGGAGATTCCAATGCTGTGCTTCAGTATGCTAATCAGTAAGAAACTGTTTCCTTATATCATAGAATTGCACTGTTGCCATAGAATTGCACTGAAGCTCCATCTTATCAGAAATTGACTTACTGGTTTTAAATGTCTGCCAAACAGTTTATAAAGCCTCGGGAATGGGTGTATGGAATACATGTAGCAGTGACTCAGTACAGATTATTTTAGGAGAATGACACTTGTTTTTCCCTCCTGCAGCAAAGGACAGTATTATAAATTACTAACTTTATGAACTGGCTGTAATGAAATGCCTTTCTCCCAAAGGTGTAGCGCCGTACATAGAAGCATTTGATAGACTGCTAAATGGGAGTGTGGCTGAGTTTCTCAGGAACAGCAAGATCCTTGAAGGTGATGTAAAGATACATGTGAGTATTTTCCCATTTTTCTCCATATAATTGTGGTTGTCTCAAAATACACAACCCAGCCTTGATTGTGGAAGGCAAGGGAATTCTCATTGCTGTTGTGTTAATTATTATTAATAGTAGTTCCCAGAGACCTCAATCAGACAGAACTGCATTGTGCTAGTAGTTGTATAAACACAATAGATGATAAAGTCCCGGTCCCAAAGACAATCCAACGCACTAGTGCAGAAAAAAACAACAGCCTTACACATATGCTGTAGCATACACAATATGAATAGTCCCATTCTTGCATACAGTTCACTAAAAGCATGAATGTTTGCAGGATTGGGGCCTAATTAAAGACAAAGGGCAACAAGTAACAGTAAAATCACATGAGTACAGAGGTTCCTAAATGTGCACAATTCGGTTCCAAATCTTAAGTTTTTGAGGTTTATATTTTTTTAAATTTTTAATTCTCATCTACTTTTTTTATTTTCAGGACTTTTACCTATTTTGTTTTAAATTATTAAACTGTGTTTAATCTTCCCATATTTTAAAATCTATGCCTGTTTCTTTTTTCTTTCGCAATAATTTTTGTAAGAAGGAAGTTTTATAAAGGTGAAGTTAGTTTTCATTGAATGTGATCATTTTACACCTTTCTTTTGTAATTTGGTTTTCATTTATTTTTGTAAACTGTCTTTTCTAAAATTCAATGACGGTATACTCCTTTTTATCGGAACCCTATAATCTAACCTCTGCATTATCTTAATTCCTTCTGGTCCCTCAACAAGAAATACATGCTACAGCCTCTCGTGCTGGGGAACAAAGAAGGGATTCAGATAATGAGGAGGTTCAGATAACAGTGCAGAGACCCCAGGCCACAAATGTGAGGAGGAGGAGTCCCCAGACACAGGGAGGCCACCCTGCTGCAGAATGAGAGTGAATAAAGCCCTCTGCAGCCCTGCTTTAATGGAAGTGAGTGAGCAGGGCTGTGACAGCAGGGTTGCAGAGGGTTCCCTGTGCTGCCACAGGGCCAGTGACTGTCAACCCCTGCAGATAAAATCTGTGTCCCCTGTGCTGTTCGGTTAATCAGGAGTATATTGTATTTTCTGTGGCAGTGGGACAAAGGATGGACTCATCTGATCAAAACTTGCAACATATCATAAAGCAGCTCTGAGCAAAATACGGCCCGCAAGCTGCATCCGGCCCGCCAAGCCACCACATCTGATTCACAGAAGCAGCAGACAGCCCCAGGCAGGCTCCCCTGCTTGCCCCACGCACCGTGTAGAAACGTGGTTGCTGGGCTCCTTTTCTGTTTCAGAAGTGGAGGGGAGGTATTATGTTTCAGGAGCCGCCCCCAGCACATTCCCATTAGCCGGTTTCTGGCTAGCCACCAGCCAGTGGGAGCTGCTTGTTTGAATAACAGGTGGCCAAGAAGCACCACTCCCCCTCTCCTTGGCTCAGTTATTCACTGAAGCACATGGCCAGGCAAGCAAGCAGGCTAGCTGGCCGGGAAATGTTTTAAGCTCAGCAAGCCTTAGCTCTGCAGACAGGCTGGCTAGTTTGTCTGCTGGCTGGTAAGTCTCCTGGCCACAGCCTGCCTTTGGCTCCCCAGCCCTGCGCTGCCCCAACTCTCAGCTCCCCCAACACAACATACCCAAACCGTCTGTCCCCCTCATGCACCCATACCCCATCCCAGCTCTGGCACCCCAGTCTCCTGCCCCAGATCACAATTCCCTTCTATCCTAGGTCACATCCCAAACCCCTGCACTCCAGTCCCCTGCCATTGGCCACAACCACCTCCTTCAACCAAACTCCCTCCCAGACTCCAGTCTCCCTCCTGCACCCCAGTCCCTTACTCCAAGCTCCCCTCTGCCTCCAGCCTCCATCCCAGACCCCGCATCTCCTCCATTAATATCATAGAAGAGTCGGCCCTTGACTCCTTTCATAAATCTTGGAGTGGCCCTCCATCAAAAATTGTTGCCTGTCATAAAGCAAAGTGCAAGTGGGTGGCTCATCACTGAAAGGTATCTGGTCTGAGTTGAGGGTAAAAGAGTGTCAGGGATTTTCTCTCATCTCAGTAGAGCTGTGTGACCATGCCTTTCCCCATAGGAATTAATCCTTGCTTAATTCATTGCTGCTCCTGCTATTCTACCTCACAAACCCTGCCGCAAGGAAAACATGCAGCCTCCACTGATTTTGGAAAACACTATGAAGAGTCCTGTGGCATCTTAGAGACTAACAGATTTATTAGGGCATAAGCTTTCATGGGATTTTGGAAAGACAAGGTACTTACCTTAGTCTTCACCTTAGTGGCTGAAAGCTTCACATTCAAAAGACCCTCGCTCCCAGTCTGCTCAAGGAACAAGAGTTCTGAGGTTGCTCTCTGAACTGGATCTCTTGTATGGTTTTAAACATTATTGTCCAGTAGGGTTACAGTGCTTCAACTGGGGGCTCTAACATATTGGCATGTGTCAGGAGATAAGGTTGTTCCAGAGTCTGATTCAATTTAGAAATTGCTTCAAAACTTTCTTCTTCAAAGAAAAACAAAAGGGAGGGGAGGGGGCGGGGAGACCCTACATACATGAGGAATACAAATTATAAAATAATAATCAAATATTTTTAAAAATAAAAAACAAAAACTATGCCCTAATCAGAAGTGCCAGATATGACATGAAGTCCATTATGGACTTCAGTATTGCAATTTATGAGCAGCAATATAAAATGCTGCGATAAATAGGAGACCTTTAGTATTGCATCCTGACAAACAAATAAAGCATGGGCTAATTTACATATGGAATCCCAAAACCCCCTCTATGGTAATGGTTATACTGCAAATCTAGTGGCAGAACTCTGCTAATTGAGTAAATCCACTCTAATCTGGCCACTGTTTGACATATACAATTTAGTCCATTTGAAGGAATACTTAACTGAAAAGATTAAATCTTTGTGAATGCATGGGCAGTTCTGGCATATTGTGGGTGCTACTGGAGAACAAACACAGCAATAATGAGTATTTGTTCAGAGCTACAGAACATATTAGCAAGTTTCCACGTGTAAAGAAAATGGTGATTCTGATTGTAACCTATTAAATATTCTGAAATTTTAGTCTTTGAATTTTATGTGAAATGCAGACTGTAGTTGCCTTATGTTTCTGCTTGCTGCATCAACAACATCTGTGCTTTACCTTAACACGCAGAACAAGGAGTGTTTTTTCTTCTGCGTGTCTTATAGACCATGTGCCCTCAGCATTATGTTTGCAGCTGCTGTCTCTATCGCATAATGCACTGAAGAGAAGGTTGTATTTTGTTTCCAAAAACACCTGTTGCCTAGAAAACCTCACATACCTGATTGATCAGGATGGTAATATGAGAGTGAGCTCATAAGGGACATTATATTATGTTAAAGAAATAAGGGATTTAATGCAATGAGTTTCATGTTGATTGCTGTAAGAACGATGTGTTTTGTGTTTCTGATGAAAGGAAGGGTACAGCTACATCTGATGTCTGTTGCAGTGCCCCACTCCTATTTTTTCTTAGCTTACTATGGGGTGAATAGCCTTTGGAAAGAGAACAAAATACAAAAGAGAACTGATAAGTAATTTTCATAAGCTCTGGTGAACATAACAGTGCAGTGGATTTCAGAAAGATTAATTCACTAAAAGAAGAGTTTGGTTCAATCAAATTAGTAGTACTGTAGTATGGTTTTGAATTCTAATGTTAGCATGACTAGTGATGATTATTTTGGGAGGTCAGCTGCATTAAAATAGCTAACCACATTAAAAATCAAAAGCAAGGATTTTTGCATAGCTTATTGAAAACAACCTATACTAAACATTTACGGCCAGGTCTTTGACCTTTCTGTGCCCTTGTGGTGATGCAAATTGGCCACAAAACTGGTGTAACTGGCTATGTGGGTACTTCCCAGGTGGTGTATAGCTGGGGAAGCCAACTCTACTCCATGCCCCACAGAGTACATCCACACAGCAATGTTATTTCGAAATAAGTGACATTATTCTGAAATAACATAGTCCGTGTCTACCCTACAAGCAGTTATTTCAACATAATATCAAAATAATGTTGAGCTGAAGGACTTCTTACTCCCGACACCTCAGAGTCCCTGACCTATTGAGGCTGCTCTGACTTGCTGTGTGCTGCTCACATTTTTCACAGACAGTGCTAATGTGCTTTGCTTTAAAGCAGTTAATGTTGACGTGACATATCTGCTGTTACCTTGATCTGTCCTGGGTTGTTGCTTCCTGGTTGCTGGATTCAACTTGGTATACTTTCACATTTGACTTCAGTGTGTCTTTATATCATTTCTATTGCTCACCATGAAAACGGGTTCCTTGCACTAGATGGCCATAAAATATGGGCTTGAGTACTCTCAAATTGGCAGTATCATGAGAAGATTAATGCAGCTGAGCTTTTATGAGCATCCAAATACTTTCTTTTTGGATGCCAGACATCCAGATACGTTCTTTTTCTTCCTGTTGGTAGCTACTGTAAACAAAATGGGTAATAATCTACATCTCTCCTGACATGCATTTTACTGAAAGATATAACGGAGGGTCCAACAGACTCTCCAGGGCCTTGGACAAGTCTGAGGTGAGGGGTGAGGGTCTCAGGCAGAAGGGGTGGGTCTCTGACTAGTCTCCCCCAGACAGCCTCAGTGCTGCCTGGGGTATGCCGGGCCTCCCCCATGTAGCCCTCAGTGCTGCCTGGAGCGCACTTCCTGTGGCTCTGGTAGTGATTTAAAGGGCTTCTGTAGTAACTGTATCAGCAGCCAGGCGCTCCAGGTCCCTTTCAATCGCTAGGCTACTGCTCCTTTTCCTCCACCTCCTTTCCCTCTTGTTGGAATGTCTGGATAGAACATTCTCTATACTCAAATCATCTGTCCATTACAGTGAGTGGTGTAGAAGTAGACAATGGACTGTCATGGTCATGACTTTTCAACAGGATCTTCTTTCTGTGATGGGCAGAAAACACTGTTACAATTGATATTGTTTAATTTAACCACGCACCGTCAAGCTCATTATTTGGCTGATTCCGCTTTAACAAGGCAATGTGCTTACAGGGCAGCAGAACTCACATGTGTATTCTCATGTTGATCTTGCTGTGTGGTTTCAGGCATTGTGCTACAAGTTAAGTCAGGGCTCAAAGTGGAGAATGATGTCAGTATACCCAATGAGAAGCGTGCAGCGGGGCTGTCTCTGCAGTTCTGTGATAAGTATTTTCAGCTGTTGAAAGCAAACACTAAATAGAACGGTTTTCAGGGTAGGGAAACAACAGAGCAAAAGAAAAAATACTGAAGCAAAAATATTTGGAAAATATCCAAAATACGTTTTCATAAAATAAAGTAAAAATACTCTTAATGTGATATGTGGAAAATATACAGGTTGAACTTTTCTCATCTGGCACTCTCTGGTCCAGCAACATTGATGGTCTGGCAGGATTTTAGTTGTCTGGATGGCCACTTATAGAGATGGCCAAGTTTCCTGCGGTCCCATAAAGTTTGTTTACAGCCACCCATCCTGGCTCTCTGGGTTCTGTGCTGTGATTTACTCCTAAATGTCTTCTAAGAATCCAGTAGGCAGTGGAAGTGTTGGTAATGCTGATAGACCATATTGACCTCACGTGGTTTGGCAAATTCTCTGGTGTAGCACTGGTCAGGTCCTGAGGGTGCTAAGGGTCCTAAGGAAGTTCAACCTGTATTTTAAAAAAACAGAAATTCACAAAGTTAAGGTTGCTTTCGTAATCCTAATGTAGTTGTAATGCATACAGTATACCAGAACCATAAAATATTTCATAATATAAATGTGAATCTTAGGCTGTGTCCAGATTCAGGGTTTTTTTCGAAAAAAGCCTTTTTTCGAAAAAACTTCACCTGCGTCTAGACTGCAGCCGCGTTCTTTCGAAATTAAATCGAAAGAACGCGGCTTTTCTTTCGACGGCGGTAAACCTCATTTCACAGGGAAGAACGCCTTTTTTTGAAAGTGCTCTTTCGAAAAAAGGCGTTCTTGAATGCCAACAGGGCTTTTTAGAAAGAGAGCATCCAGACTCACTCGCTGCTTTCTTTCGAAAAAGCGGCTTGCTTTTTCGAAAGTACTGCTTGCAGTCTAGACGCTCTTTTTCGAAAGAGGCTTGCTGTCTAGACATAGCCTTAGTGTATTACTGGTTAAGAAGATAGGAAATACAATATGCAATATGTGTGCAATGTGGTCAAATTACCAATACAATACCTAGGACTATTCTTATGAATTCCAGTGCCCTACACAGCCTAAGCACCTGCACCCCCACAACCTCTGCTGGGGAGCAGGGCAGCAATTCTGTGAGACGGTTAGGGGCTGTGCTCAGAGCTGTTGGAATAGGACAAGGAGACTGGTTGGGAAACAGGCCTAAAGGGGAGGGGTGTAGCCCACCAGAGCTGTGGGCTTGAGGGATTGGGGCTGCTGCAACTGGGAGGTGGAACATAGGCCCACTGCAGCCTTTGAGACTGCTTGAGGGAAGAAGTAAAGTTAAACTTTCTTGTCTTTTCTTAAAAAGATGCTCCAAGGAATTTATAATCTTTTCCCCCTGTGTTTGTACAGCACCTCGCATAGTGGGGTCCTGGTCTATGATCAGGGCCCCTCGGCACTATGGTAAAATGAATAATAAGTCCTGAGAGGCTGCCATAACTTAGACAGCCCCAAGACTAACTCATCCTTTCCACCTCAGAGTAGCCCAAGATTGGGAGAGTACAAAGGTGAGTTAAAGCTGATATTGCCACTCATCGTTCTTGGCTGGGAGTTCTGTGCCTGTCATAGTGCTAGTAGGCTGCTATAGAGCTCTCACCAAAATAGAAAGCTGCTCTGACCCCACAGAAAAAGTGAAGGAGAATGACAGAATCAGTAGTACCTTTTCTTCTCATTTGGGTGTCCCCCTCCATATCAAGCTATAATTGCACCATTGAATCTAGCCCACAGTGAAGGGGAAGGTATTTGTGATAGGTTCGGTTACAGAGATCACCTTGAGACTATTACTTGATGGGTTGATCATACCACTGAACCTGACTGTCTGCCTTCCCACACACTGTCCTGCTGGGCCAGAAGCTCTGGTCTCCCCCAGCGATGGCACAGAGTTTGAGAATAGTTCAGGTCTGGGAAGGCTTAGTCACAGGAACTTGACATGGCAGCCAGATGCACAGCCCCAGTGGAACCAGAAACCCAGATAAATCCATCCTGCTCTGCATAAAAGTTTTATACAGAGCAAACTCATAAGTTGTTCGCCCCGTTAGTCAATGAAAGAGAGATATGCACAGCTGTTGTTCCTCTGGGTAACAGTTATTTACACTGAGTTTAATAATAAACAAAAGTGATTTTAAGTATAAAAAGTAGGATTTAAGTGATAAAACCGATTAAAATAAGTTCCTAAGCTAAATAAAAAATAAAACATGCCAACTAAGAGTAATATTCTAAGAAACTTGTTATATGCAATTTCTTATCTTAAAAGTAATTCTAGTCACTTTTTCTCACAAGCTAGGCAACCTCCTAGCTTGGGTTTGAGCCTTCCCCCTTGTTCATTCTTAGATGCTTCCTTCAGATCTCTTAGGTGGTAACTAGGGGATACCTTAATGTCTGGCCTGCCAATTCCCCTGCTGTTTTGTTCCCTAACTATAAATAGATTTTGCCCCAGGAATCCTTTATGTTCAGCTTCAGCCCCCTGACATCCACATGGAAAAGTACCTCATCCAAAATGGGTTCCAGCATCAGGTGACCTGGCCACATGCCATACTCCATGCTTACAGGAAGAACAAGACTATTCACATATTATTGTCTTCAGTTCCTTGAATACAGGCAGTCCCCGGGTTACGTACAAGATAGGGACTGTAGGTTTGTTCTTAAGTTGAATCTGTATGTAAGTTGGAACTGGCATCCAGATTCAGCCGCTGAATCTGGACACCAGTTCTGACTTACATACAGATTCAACTTAAGAACCCCAGGCGTCCCCAAGTCAGCTGCTTAACCCGGGGACTGCCTGTACCATGTCTCTTACTTTTGAGTCATGATGACCATTACACAAAGATCTGTGCTATTAAAGTTTAACTAGTAGCATTAACATGTAAATAATGGTAGATAGATACATATTACACTGCAGAAATTATCCATGGCAAGTATTAGTACCTTTTTTCCCTCGATTGTTCTGGCAAGCTGTATGCTCGTTGTTCTATAAAACACAAAAAGTTAATGAAACCTAAGATGGTTGTCCTTGGATATTTATTTGTTTGAAGCACATTACCTCAACCAGGATGAAAGCTCAGTCATTATATTCTGGCATGTTGGTTGGATATTTAGAAAGCAAAAATTACTAGAAGCAATATTGTCCAAGATAATACAAATCGTTTGTTAAATAGATTGTCTTTGACAGAATTTGCCCGGATCTGGATTAACATCAGAAAATGCCAGTCTTTGCAAAATGGTGGATTGTCTTTAAGTAGTAAAGAAAATTAGTATTACTCTTTTCCAAGCAACCCGGTTTTTCTGATGGTTCATCTTTCATTTTGCTTTTTTAGCTATTCTGTTGTAAAGGGCTTATGTGATTCTTTTCTGCTATTACGCGGCCGGCGGGCCGGCCCCCGGGCCCTCCGCCGCTTTGCTCCCCATCTCCCTGGTCTGCTGGCTCCCGCAGCAGACCAGGGAGACGGGGAGCAGCTTTTCTCGCCCCAGAGGAGGCGGGCGGCGGGACCAGGCGTCCCGCCGCTCGAGTCCTCCGGGGCGAGAAAATCCCCGTTCGTAACTGTGGATCCGACATAAGTCGGATCCGCGTAACTCGGGGACTACCTGTACTGCTAATGACCTTCACTAGCCCATCTAGATATATAAATGGGTTCTTACTTCATATTTTTAACTTCAGATACATAAATGATATATGCACACAAATAGAATATACACATTCAGAGGATTACAAGTTCTCCAATGACGAGAGCTTGTAATCCCCTGAATATGTATACATGCCACATTTTGCATTAAATATATTCAAATTGGGCATATTCATGTTAAAAAAACATATTTCCATAAAAATATGGGGGCACAATGTCAAAGCATTATTTTTTCATCTCAGAGCTGCAGTGCCACTGAGCCCAGTTTTTCAAATTCAGAATAATATCTTCCATAGTGTTCATTTTTAAAGCTTTGCAGCTGATGCTATATAGTGGTTCCCCTCTTTCAAGCTTGATTAGAATTATTTGTTGTTACAGGCTCTGAACAAGATTTTTTTGTTACTTTTCAATCTCTCCAGAAACCATGTGCTCTGTGTCCTGAACAACTGCCCTCCATCCCTTTTCTTTAATTTTTTTAGTTGGTGGCTGCAACTGTTTGAGCTGCACAGAAATACTGGGTTTAGAAACGGGGGGTTATTCATTGCAGTCAGCAGAAATGCAAACAATGAGTTCAGAATATGGCTCTTCAGTCACTTTCTAGTAAAAAGGAGTTAAGTGAATAATGAGCATTAACAAGGCACAAGAGAAACTGATGTGCAGTTTCAATGTTTTTTTAAACAAGATGAGAGGTATGTTGCAGGAGTGGGGGAGCGACTAGTGTTCTAAATGTGTATTTGCCTCTCATTATGCAGATCGAAGCATATTATCAGTGTATCCAGTTTCATGAACACTGGAGAGTTAATTTAGATAGAACAATCCTTTTGGTGCAAACTTCTGTTACTATATGACATCCATAAATTAAACTATGTCACTTTACTGTCAATCTGAACTATATTTATGCATACACACAGAGTCCATTGAGTAATCAGTAATGCAAGGCTTTATTTAATGGTTTCTTTATTTACAAATTTAATTTCACATTTCTCTCCAACTCCTGGAAGTGCAGTAAAATAGTTTTGTGCGGCACCTTGAAGTCATTAGTTAAGGCTGAAATCTTTTTATAGCCTCCTATTTAAAGAATGATCACAGGGCAAATTCTCTCTCCGTTATATCACTGTGAACCTGGAAGAAATCAATGTAATTCAATGGAGTAACTTTGGATTTATATCTAATATAAATGAGGGCAGAATTTAATCTCGTGAGTTTTTCTTACAACAGTTATTATAACAGGAACCAAAGGTGGCTGCCAAAGCTTTATATTTAATACCTTTCATTGTTACTAATACTAAAAATTAAATCAGAACCAAAAATATTCAAATATGATGCCTCAAAGTCGAGACCTAGGTTCATATTTAAATATCTAGGACAGGTCTACACTACAAACTTGCATTGAAACAGTTGCAATGCAGTAATGATTCTGGTGAAGACACTCTAAGCTGATGTGATAAAGCTCTACCACTGGCTTCATAACTCCACCTTTGTGACACATGGTAGCTGTGTTGATGGTAGAAGCTCTCTCAGGGCATGACTATACTAGGAAATTTCAAAATAACTTATTTCAAAATAATAACTTCCAAAATAATTCTTTTGGAATAGCAATAGGGGTGTGCCCCCTGCTTGCTACGCTCGCTAACCCCCTCTGTCCAGCACAGCCACATCGTGGCTTCTCCTCCTACCTTACCCATGCCGCAGCTGGAGGGGGATTGCCACCAACCCTTTCTGCAGTCAGATAACGACTGGACTGCGGGGTCTGCCCCAGGATTGGGGCCAGGGACAAGATGCTGTGGACAGATGGGGGCTGGGCCCTGATTGGGGCCTTGTAGACCCGGCTTCATTTTAAACAAAGTAAAATATTATGCCCAACACAAAAAATGTTTCAACATTGTCTTTATTTATGGCAGGGGTGGGGAACTATTTTGAATTCAGGGGCCACTGATGCACAGAAAAATCGGTTGGGGACCACATGAGTGAGAAGGGAAAAAAAGCTCATTCCCCTAGTGCTCCAGCCCCATCATGGAGGAGGGACAGGACTGAGATTGAAGGCCTCAGGCCAGATTAACTCTTCTGGAGTTCCAGGGTTAGTGGATTTTGTGGGCCCCCTAGACTCTGGGGTGGGGCCAAAAATGAAGGATTCAGTGTGTGGGACAGGGCTGCCAGTGAGTGGAATAGGGATGGGGGTGCAGGATCTGAGCAGGAGGTGAAGTGCAGGAGGAACTGAGCGTGCGACGTGTGGATGAGAGGTAGGGTGCAGGAGCAGGGTTTGGATGTCTGGCCAGGAGGAGGGGACAGGAGCGGGCTGGGGGCAGGATATCTGGGCAGGGGATAGAAGGCAGGAGTGGGCTGAGGGTGCAGGGTCTCAGTGGAGGAGAAGGGGGCTGAGTGAGGGGTTGGGGGTGCAGGGTCTGGGCATGAGGGCATGGGAAGGCACTTACTGGTCTGCTGGTCCCAGGCTCAGCCTCCTGCTGATCCCATTAGCTGGAATCTGGCCAATGGGAGAGCAGGGAAAGGCTCCAGACTATGCGTTTCCACGCAGCTCTTTCTCCAGTCCAGGAGGGGGTGCACTTCTTCCCCACGCAGCAAGGCTTGGGGCTTTCTCTCTCTCCCTGCCCCTTGCGCAGTGGGAAGCCAGTGCTGGTGCTGCAACCACTCGGGGGAGGAGGGAGGGTGAGGCTGCAGTGCCAGGCAAAAGGACCACTCAAGCCAGTGTTACTGGGTGCCTTCTTGCTCACCTTGCAGAAGTGCCACTCGTTGCTGAAGCTCCGCCCATGGCTGAGCAGGAGGATCCTGGATATATGTGGGCGGAACTGAAAAAGGTGCAGCAAAGGCTGTCAGACTCATCCAGAGCTGGGATGAGGGATGCAATAGCATAGTCCAGACGTGGCCAACCTGTGGCTCGCGAGCCGCATGTGGCTCTTCAAAGGAAAAATTGCGTCTCTTCTCACAGTCCCTTCCACCCCTATGCCCTGTGGACACGGCCCATGCCTCCCGGCTCCCCTGTGCTTACCGGGGCAAGGGAGCCGTCCGGATCAAAATGGCAGATCCAATATGGCGGCTGCTGCTGGGAGTCTGCTGAGGCCAAAAAGCCTTAAAAAGACTTCTTAAAGGGCCAGTCCTTTTTCTCTCCTCAACTTATTGCCCCGGCTCTTTGCGCTGGATCCAGCTGGATCTTGGCTCTTCGTCCAGAATGGGTTGGCCACCCCTGGTGTAGTCGATTAAACGAGTAAATGATAGGCAGCTGCTTATCAGTTAACGTTATTGGCTACATGCAACCCCTCTTGCCCCCCATGTGGCTCTGCAAGTTCATTTTTTAGCAGGCTGGATGAACCGGGCTCATGCTGGGTCCTGGCAGCACCTCCAGTTGCAGCTCTGCATTAGGGAATTCAGGAGATGGCGTGCAGGCAGGCTGGCTCAGTCCCAGCTCATGCCAGGTCCCGGCATCAACCTAGCTCCAGCTCCCCATCCACTATTAATGCAAAGCCACAGCCAACATTTTTGATGACCACATGATTAATGAATTACACGCTTCTTAATATCACTAGCTGGGGTACCAGTGATGATGACATGGGGTAACTGGATAGGAAGTCTATCACCATCCTCATAGAGAGCTCCAATGACTGTTTCTTCCAGCTTTGTTTCTAATGCTGTAAGTATTCACAATGTAAGAGAAACAACACAGGAAACTAGTTTACTGTGCTTATTCTGACATGTATTGATTTTTTTACTGTTTCATTTATATTATATATATATTTATTACGACTCACTGTTTCAGCGGGTGCTTCATCAATTTCCTCTTCTTCATTAACTCTAAGTAGCCACCTGAAGGAAGAACTTGTGTTTTGTGCTAGGTACACATTGCATTCTAGATTAATCCCAGGCTACAGAGGGTTGACCAGGGCCTGAAAGGTTTCTAAGGTAATGGCTGGTGAGGGATTCCATAGCAGCACACCTCTTGTGGAAGCCATGCTGTCAGGAAATGAGAACCACAGATTCATAGGCTTGGAAAGGACATTGAGAGGGTGTCTAGTCCAGCCCCCTACACCTAGGGCAGGAATATGTATTATCTAGATACTGTAGTTAGAAGCAGATTCTTTCCGCAGTGAATCTCACGAAAGGCTCCTCTATACCTAACCTATTTTGAACTATTTTGATAGTTAATCAGCGTTCAAACCCATGGGCCATATGAGCAGTTCCATAATCTATCCCACACACAGCTGCTGGCATGTGAGTACCTGTGGCCCGGGGCGGGGGGATCCATACTCTCCCCGTAAGTCCAGCTCCTCCTCCAGTACCACCCCATCTCTTTCTGCCCCTGCTCCATCTCCCCCCCATCACACCCATTCCCTCAAATCCCTTCTCCTGAGGAATGTGGCTTTGGAGATTATTGGGGGGCTGGCACGGGGTGGCAGCAGAGATCAAGCCCCCAGCACTCACTGTGGTGTTGAACGACACAGCAGCCTCTCCTCTGCCCCACTGTCATCTCCCAGGCCCGCCCGGTCACTCTGTTTCACCACAGTGATGAGAAGTGGAGACCCCAGCCCCAGCGCTGCCTGGCTTGGGAGACGGTGGTTGACTGGAGCATGTGAGTGCAAGGGGAGCCTGATCTCTGCTGCCATCTCCAGCCCGCCCACGTCCCTGTGGGCCAATCTGAGTATGGGGGACCATTCCGTCCGTAGGATGGTTGGGGTGGCTGTTGTGGGGCTCCCTAAAGTGTGGGGCCTGGGGCTGCACTGAACTTCCTATGGATGGGCCAGGTCTGCAAATGCATCCCCCTCCCCTGGCCTCCAGGGATGGGCTGGCAGCAGTGCTGACAGAGCAGCTGACAGCCATTCTGGCACTACCAGTGGTGACAGCGGGGCTCCCTGGAGGAGTTAAATTGCCAGAGGGCAGCAGGTGGGGCGGGGTAACTCATGGTGGGGGGAAGTGTGCAGGCCAGCAGGTGGAACTGGGAGATGTGTGGGGAGGGGGAAACATGCAGAGACACTCCTCCCCAGAACTCTGCCAGAGGAGGATGCCTGCTGGCCCATTAGGAGGATTTGAGGACTGACACTGGCCTAAGATGTTAAGAACAAATCACGTCAACTAATCTGATTGTTTGCCCCAAAACAAAGCGAATATCCCTTCCCCTGCCTCCCACTTCCTTCCCCCTCAAAGCCTAAGAAAAGGGATGGACTTACCATTCCCTAAGGCCATGTCTGCACTACAGAATTGAACTGTTCCTACCTGGATTGATGGTAGAGAAGTGGTTCAAGCTCAAATGGTTCAGTGTGACCCTGTCAGTTCATACTGTGAACCAGTGCAGCTTTGTGCTGCGTCCACTGTTCTAAACAGTTCCATTGCTGAATCCTCTCTAGGCATCTCCCCCACAGTTCCTGGCACCACTCCCGGAGCAGTGGATTCAGGGAGATATCGAAAAGCCTGTGGTGAGCAAACATATGAAAGGCCATCCCGGGTCAGACCACTAGTCCAGTATTCTCTTTTCTGGCAGTGACCGGTGCCAAATGCTTCAGAGTGAATGAACAGAAAAGGACAGTTACTGAGAGATCCATTCTCTATCATATAGTCCCAGCGTCTGGCAGTCAGAGTCTTAGGGACACCCAGAACATAGCCACTGATAGACTTATTAGTCCTATCTTCTGATCCTTTTTATAACCCAGATATCGTTTTGGATTTCACAACATTTTCTGGCAACGAGTTCCTCAAACTGTCTTTATGTTGTGTGAAGTACTTCCTTTTGTTTGTTTTAAATCTTCTACCTATTCATTTCATCAGGTGACCCTGTACCTTGTGGTATGTGAAGGATAAACATTGCTTCCCTATTCACTTTCTCCACACTATTCATGATTTTATAGACTGCTGTCACATCTCCCCTAACTCATCTCTTTTCAAAGCTCAACACTCCCACTCTTCTTAATCTCTCCTTATAGGGAATCTGTTGCACACCCTCTTGTCATTTTTGTTGCCTGTCTTTTGTAGTTTTTCTGTTCTTATCTATATTTTTTTCAGATGGGGAGACTGGAAGCAGTTTTCAAAATGTGGGCATACCAGGGATTTATATGGTGGTATTATTGTATTTACTGTCTCCTTATCTATCACTTTCTAAATGGTTCCTAGCATTCTGCTGCTCCGTGTTAAGTGGATGCTTTCAGAGAATTATAGATGAGGACTCCAAGCTTTCTTTTTCGAGTGGTAACAGCTAGGCTGTGTCCAGACTCAGGGTTTTTTCGGGAAAAGTAGCCTTTTTCCGAAAGAACTTCACCTGCGTCTAGACTGCAGCTGCGTTCTTTTGAAATTAAATCGAAAGAATGCGGCTTTTCTTTCGACGACGGTAAACCTCATTGCACGAGGAAGAACGCCTTCTTTTGAAAGTGCTTCTTTCGAAAGAAGGCGTTCTTGAATGTAAATAGGGCTTCTTCGAAAGAGAGCATCCAGACTCACTGGGTGCTTTCTTTCGAAAAAGCGGCTTGCTCTTTCGAAAGTTCCGCGTGCAGTCTAGACGCTGTCTTTCGAAAGAGGCTCTTTCGAAAGTATCTTTCGAAAGAGCCTCTTTCGAAAGAGGCTTGCAGTCTAGACATAGCCCTAATGTAGACCCCATCATTGGGGTGCACTGTGGGAAAGTGATGTGAATCTCTGATTAGGGCAGTGGTCTCGATCTACACTGGCTCTAAGACAGTAATTCAGATTGTCTAAAAAGAAGTTTAATCTAAATTGTTCCTGAAACACGTTAACCATTTGGAGCACTTTTATTTGTGTACCTGGAATATTTTACAAGTTTACTAGAGGGACTAAACTGTTGTTAGAACAGTGCAATTCTCTAGAGAAGACCAGGCCTGATTTGGCTGAATATGGGAGAAAAGCCAACTCCTGACTCAAGACCCTCTCCTCAGAAGACGCTGTCACCAGATGCTGTGAAAACACATATCTGTTGTGAATGTACATAGCAATAACAGCCTTCACTGAAACTTGAATTTTAGTTAGCATCAGACCAAATATATACCTATGTGAAATTGTAGAGGGAGCTCCAAAACTGCTTAGCAGACACTTACACAGCATATAAGTAATGAGGTTTATTTCAAATCTCTAGTCAGCTGTTGTGCACAGAGCTAATTGTATGGTGTGGGAGCTAGGATGATAAAGGTATGCTGTTTTTCATAGTTCTCTCTGTAAGTCATTTACAAATTTGACACTGTCAATCTGGGTTTGACTAAAGATATTAACTGGTTAATGCACTAATTTCCCCTGCCTTTGACATTTGCATTTTCACATCAAAAGCTATGAATGGGACACATCCAGCCTACTTAATTAGCTTCATTAACACAGGTCCTACAATTGACAGGTAACTGGTTTTGCTGTTATATATATTCTGTAATTCCCACTCCTACTCACCTGATGAAGTCAGTTTTGCCTTTATATTTGTTAGTCTCTAAGGTGCCAAAGGACTACTCATTGTTTTTAAAGTTACAGACTAAGACACCTACCCCTTTGAGAATTTTACCATGCATGTATGCCATCTAGACTTAATTACTAGATGTCTCAACAAAAGATTTATTGGCATTGGAAAAGATTCAGAAAGGGGCAACAAAAATGATTAGGGGTTTGGAATTGGTCCCATATGAAGAGAGATTAAAAAGATTGGGACTTTTCAGTTTGGAAAAGATGATATTAAGGGGGGTTATGATAGAGGTCTGTAAAAGCGTGACTGGTGTGGTAAAAGTGAACAAGGAAGAGTTATTTACTTGTTCCCATAACCTAAGAACTAGGGGTCACCAAATAAAATTAATAGGTAGCAGGTTTAAAACAAACAAAAGGAAGTTTTTCTTCACGCAGCGCCCAACCTGTGGAACTCCTTGCCAGAGGATGTTGTAAAGACCAGGACTTTAACAGGGTTAAAATAAGAGCTAGATAAATTCATGGAGGTTAGGTCCACCAATGGCTATTTGCCAGGATGGGTAGGAATGGTGTCCCTAGCCTCTGTTTGTCAGTGACTGGAAATGGATGACAGGAGAGGGATCACATGATGATTACCTGTTCTGTTCACTCCCTGTGGGATAGCTGGCATTGGCCACTGTTGAAAGACAGAATACTGGGCTAGATGGACCTTTGGTCTGACCCAGTATGGCTGTTCTTATGTACTACATAATATATATGGGAAGGAGGGCAAACAAAATTTAGAAAGCTTCAGCTGATAAAAAATGCAGCTGCGTGTCTGCTCAGACACAAAATTACTGTAAACACATCATCCCCATAGTTACTATACTGACTGCTCATTGAATAAAGAGTCCAGTTCAAGCAGCAGCTTTCTGTAAAAAGAATTGTATCTGTATAGGTAAATAAATAGCTTGTCAGACCCATAGAGGTAGAGTCCTGAATTGATATAAAAGGTGCATCCTCATCCAATCACTCAACTGCAAAAATGGTCTGCAGATATAAAGCAGATATCCACAGGTTTTCAGGGCTCAACAGATAGGTGACAATGAAATATGTAAAATAGAGTTCCCAGGCTATGAGGTGAGTAAAAAAGAAAGTGTGGTGGTACCAGTGACATTGAATTCTGAATGTGAAGAAATGTCTAGGAGCGTTGCCTCACTGGGGTGTGTGGGATGAAATTAACACACCTCCAGAAATAGGATTGTGCCAGGAAAAGGAGAAAACAGTCACAATAATAAGGCCTTACAAACTTATACTATATTAACTGCAAAGGCTATGTTAATACAACCTTTTGGTCAAGATTTAACTATTCACGCCAGGAACAAGAGTGTTCTAGTCACCACTGTAACCTGTAGCATCTAAAACAAGTTTCATTCTTGGCATACAGTAATTACTCTGAAATCAGCAACGTTACACCACAGACATCAACTGGCTCACATAATATCTGATGATATTAGGTATGGAGTAAAAGGTAACATTCTTGTGTGCAATGTGTCTACTGTTACTATAACTTTGAACTTCCTGATTTGTCTTTATTTAAAATATGAGTCAAAAGTTTTATTCACATGTTAATTTCCATGTTTTATTTTTAGATGGGGGGGGGGGGGGGAAAAGATAAATAAAGGAAAGACAATGGGGAAGAAGCAAAAAGACCAATATGTACATTTAAATTTGAATGTACAGGTGTTATGTTAATTTAACACATCCAACCTGTTTTTCATTTATTTATATTATTAATAATTTCTATTATCATAGTGCTTAAAAGCTGAATTCAGGAACCGAGACCCCATTGTACTAGGTGCCGTAAAATGGTCTCTCTACTGAAGAGCTTATAATCTAAGTATTAAGAAGAGACAACAGATGTTTGCAGGCAGATCAGCAGGGGAGTACAAGGAAACAATGAGACGAGTATTAGTCATCATGATATACAATGGTTTCAGCATACCAGCAGCCTAGTTATTGTCAAGTTTTTTGTAGGCTTGGTGGCAAAGGAGAGTTATAAAGAGGATTTTAAAGGAAGATAGTGAGATAGCTTTGTGGATGTTTACAGGAGCACCCCTCAATCATGAGGGATCACACAGGAAAAGCACAAGTATGCTTGTTTGAAAATGTAGCTGTATTTATGAACTATCATCTTCTGCACCTGTAGGGTTTCTGCTGATCTGCAGTTGAATATCAGATGGTACATTCAACACATTTTTTCTTGTTTGTGCATGTTCAAAACATTGAGGCACTAATGCTGAGCGCCTCCCATAAAGTGCTGAACTCCTCCACCTCCATTAACTTATGGTCAGTCTATACTGCTGCAAAGCATTAGACTACAAGCAGAAAGAGAGAATTAAGCCATAATACTTGGAGCTATCAACTGGTGGAAAGAAAGCTGTAGAGGGGAGCCAGGGCATAAAGAAGGCACAGAATAATTGTTAATTCTAAAAAGCTGATGCTAATGCTACTATTAACAATTATTGTTCTTCCAAGATTAAAGTTTAATTTCTTCCCTCCTCTTGTAGGCAGAAATGGTGCGTGCTGCTTTCCAAGCTCAGAGAGCCTTCCTGCTGCTAGTGTCTCAGTATCAAGAACCTCCAGAGGTAAGGAAATCCCTGTAACACTTTGGGAGGCAACATAGTAGGATGTGTGTGTGCATGTCTGAATAAATGGCAGCCCCCAAGCTCTCTTGGATTCACTGCTCTTTATTTAGGGGATGGTAAGGTATAAATGCTGTACTGACTTGTGTTGGGGATGGGCACAGTATATGTAGCAAAGCTAGATGTGGGTCCTCTTACATGAGTGCTGTTACAACCAGGGATGGGCAATAATTTTTGATGGAAGGGGACACACCAAGATTTTGGAATGTGGACAAGAGCCACACTCTTCCATGATATTAATGCAGAAGGAAGCCTGGAGTTAAGAGATTGGGGTGCAGGAGGTTGCGGGGGGTCTGGGAGGGAGTTTGGTGAAGCAGGCAGTTATAACTAGGGATGTTAAATATCGGTTAATAGAATAGTCGAGTAACCTCATGAATTCTTATTGGTTGCCCGGGGGGGGGGAGGGAAGGGGGGGCGGGCAGCCGCTGTATCAGAGGCAACAGTGCAGGGTGTCAAGCAGGAGCTGGTTCATGAGGGGAGCCAGGTTAAAAACTAGCTCCCCTTGTGGACTGGCTGCCTGTTGCCCAGTGTTTCTGCCTCTGATAAAGAGGCAGCAGTGTGGGGTGGCAGCAGCCCCTGTCTACGGTGGGTCTGACCTACCGGACCCAGCACAAGCCAGAACTGAGCTGGGCTGCTTCCCTGCCTCGCTCCTAATACACTTTAAATACAGAGCTGCAGCAGGAGTATTTTCTGGACCCAGTGTGAGCCTGAACTGAGGCTGGACTGTTGGCCAGCCTGCTAAAAAATTTACTGGCAAGGGTGGGGAGAGGGAAATGTGTGTACTCTATAGCATTAAACTATACATTTTTGCTTATTGGTTAATTAACTATACTGTTACATCCCTAGTTATAACCTGGGGTATGGGACTGGGGTGCAGGAGGAGGTGCAGGGCTTTGGATCGTGACCTAGGGTAGGAAGGGATTGTGACCTGGGGCAAGGGATTAGGGTGCAGGGGTTTGAGTCGTGACCTAGGGCAGGGGATTGAAGTACAGGAAGAGGTGCAGGGGTTAGGGTTGTGACCTGAGGCAAGGTATTGGGGTGCAGGATTTGAGAGAGGATATGGGTAGGGTTACCAGATGGCTTCAAAAAAAATACCGGACACACTTGATCTCAGATGGGAAGTGGGGGAGGGGACCAGCAGAGTGGGGAGTGGGGCTGGCCAGGAGGAGGTGTGTGGGTGGGGGATGAACCGGCTGGCAGGAAGCAGGGCTGATCCTGGCAGGGGGGTTGAGGGCAGTGGGGCTGGCCGGGGGAGA